CACACACACCACACACAAACAAAACAAGAGAGCTTTTAGTCCCTTTAGGAAAGGTATGTGCCAAAAGAGACAAAGGCACTTCTGGCCTTTGGGCCCCAGCCCACAGCAGCTGCTCAATTCCCTTTCAGAAGTGGTATGTACTTAATGCAATTCATCCGTTGTTAAGAATAAGGCATTTTGCCTTAGTTTTTCCTATAAATAACCTGTGTCCAGCTCCAATTATGGACCAGTGCTGAGTTTATCTCGCATCACATTTCTGGGGTCTCTTTCTGGACTCCCTGTTCATGCTTTTTCATAGCTCCAACCACCAACACAGCTCTGTAAGGTCCGAGCTCCCATCTTTTGCATTTTCCTTGTAGTCTTGGGTATTTATGGCTTTGCAGTTATTATCATTTTGTGCTTTTCTCCATGGCAAACCTGGTACCATGGAGGTGGGCACGTAATTAAAAAGAAGCGATGGCTCTTACATTGACCTCACCTCTTTTGGTGTGTAGGTCTTGTTTTGTGTGGCAGGGTTTTAAGGCGCTTAGTGTACAGGTATATACTTTCTTAACTAAGTTCATCTCTGGGCACACTTGGTTCATTGTTACTGTTGGGTGGCGGTCTTCATGACCGCCTGCTGTCCTGTCCATCTGAGCCAGCTGGTGAAAGGAGGGCCCTGCATCTCCAGCTGTACCTACTCTTCTGTTTCCTTTGGTCGTTCTGTGCGTTTTGAAGTTCTGTTATTGTCTCTAAAAGTATTTAGAATCCGATGCCCGTTTGATGAATCAACTCTGTCTTCTTGGGACATTCTTCAGCCTGAAGTGTCTTGTCTGATGTCATTGCCGCCACTGCGGCTCCACCTGCTTTATTTTAGGATGTCACATTCTCCATCTTTTGGTCTTTATATTTAAAGCGAGTTGCTTGTAGGCAGGAGAATGGGTTTTGGCTTTTGAATCCATGCAGACATCTTCCTGATGGAGGATGGCCTGTGCTCCATCCCTTTGTATTCATTTTATGGTCATGCCATTGGGAGGAGCCGTGGGGGTTACTGCTTGTGTTGGTGCCACCTGGGCGTTGTCTGGGTGACCCCTGGGGGGCAGCCGCCCCAGTTCTGTGCCCCCCCTGCTGCTTGTCCCCCTCCAGTGGTACTTCAAGGTTGGTTTTACAGTCTGGGGGTGCTGCAGTGGCTCCGCCTTGCCTGCAGCCCCCGTTCTAGCTAGCCTTCGAAGGGGCCTCCTCTGCTTCTTCGGGATCAGATGTTTTCCCACCTCAGAGTGTAGTAGGGGTGGCCAGAGCATTGTTGACCCCCCCATTATCATTTTAGTTCTTGCAAGGAATTAAGTGCTAAGCTTTAGGAAAGATTTTTGCTGCAATATGTCCAGTGTTTTCTCTTGATGGATACCTGGTGAGGATGCAAAGTCCTTCTGGCCTTGGGAATTATGTGTGGGGATGTTTGCTCTTCTCTTCTATGTGGTCTACATTCATTTTCTGCTTGTCTGACTAACTTGAGGAAGAGTACATTGGAGGCCGAGAGGTGGTTCTGTTCTGATCCAGGACAACTCCAGAAACTTCGCTTCCTTTCTCTATCCATTGTTACTTTTTATTATCTCTTGGCATGTTTGATGTTTTAATTGTAAAGCCCATTTGTTGCTAATACTTCTAGGAATAGGGGTGGGTGCGTGTGCCATGTCCCTGTTTATCTGTGGTTCAGGCCCAGGCCCTTGCAATGACTCTTTCTTTTCTTTTCTTTTCTTTTCTTTTCTTTTCTTTTCTTTTCTTTTCTTTTCTTTTCTTTTCTTTTCTTTTTCGAAACAGAGTTTCTCTGTTTAACAGCCCTCGCTATCCTGGAACTCACTCTGTAGCCCAGGCTGGCCTTGAACACACAAAGACCCACCTGCCTCTGTCTCCCGAGTGCTGGGATTAAAGGCGTGCGCCACCACTGCCTGGCCCTTGCAATGACTCCTGATGTGTTGTTTTTAGAAACTTCACCTGGAGATGTTGGCTGACCAGCCTCGCACGACGAAATACCACAGTGTCATCCTGCAGAACAAGGAGTCCCTGAAGGACAAGGTCATCCTGGACGTGGGCTGTGGCACTGGGATCATCAGCCTCTTCTGTGCCCACCACGCACGGCCCAAGGCAGTAAGTGTGTCTGTCTGCCTCCACCTGTGCCCAGCTGTGGGCCATCGTGGTGGTGGGCTTGACAGGCGGCCAGCATGTGGTTCGCTCTCAGGATGATTTGATGTTTTTGGCCTTTATGTACCTGTGCGATTTAGGCTTGTGGGAGGGAAGTAGGCAGCTGGTCCATCTGTGGCTGAGACTGTGACATACTGTACTGGCCACGAGCAATGTAAGTGGAGCTAGACAGAACAGAAGTGACAGTGATTCTGTTAGTGGGACACTTGCGAGATGTTACTTTAGTTCACTATAGAAAATGGTGGGTGCATATGACTATGATGGACCCGTTCCAGTCCAGGCCTTTGGCTCTCTGGTGTAGACCTTTTTCTCCCACCTTTTAGGGCCTATTTGAGCTGAGCTGTGCTATGGCCTCATGACAGCCTGACAAGGTGGTCAAGAAGCCAGTTTACAGGGCAGTGATGACTGCACCTAGACACTGCCAATCTGGGAGCAACATCCAGATTCTCTTCCAGTTCTCCCTTGAGCACCAGATGTGGTTGTCCCTGGCCATAGATTCTAACATACTCACTGTTCGTTATTGTTCTGGGCACTTGTTTGGTGGTCACGGGGTGTATGTATTGTGTGGGGGAACCAACCCGGTGGAGCTGAGCTTCTGCCCGCCTGCAGCTGTGTTTGTGTTTCATGGAGGAGGCTCAGGCAGGAGGCAGGACTCGGCAGTGCTGCACTTTCCAGTGTACTGTCCAGGCCACAGGGACGCTGTACGGCTTGGCGCACCCTAGGCCTCCGTTCCCCACGCAGCGTTCTCTGTCATCTCTGTCACGTACCTGTGTGTGGGGTCAGGACACGTGCTGACAGGCGCCCTTACCGCCGCAGGTCTATGCTGTGGAGGCCAGTGAGATGGCACAGCACACAGGCCAGCTGGTCCTGCAGAACGGCTTTGCTGACACCATCACTGTGTTCCAGCAGAAGGTGGAAGATGTGGTGCTGCCCGAGAAGGTGGACGTGCTGGTGTCTGAGTGGATGGGGACCTGCCTGCTGGTAATACCTGGCATGTGGTGGTCTGTGGGTGGTGGGCATCTCATTTCTTCTGGACCTAGCACGCTGGGCCCATCTGAGGAATCTTTAAAAATCATAATTAATTGTTCTTTTTTCTTTTCTGAAGTGAGGTGGTGTTAATTTATTGAGTGATATTGGCTCTGTGTCTGAAATCTTAAAAACAAAAACAAACACACAAACACCACGAGACTTATGTCCGAAACGAATGTGACTCTCTTCTGGGCTCTCTGAATCACCTGCTCTTTCCTGGGGACTCTTCAGAAGTCCAGGACTGTTTCCTCAGCCACCAGTGTTTCCATCTTCCCGGCTCCATTTGCTGTAGGCTAGCCCTGGCACTGTCTGTGAGACTCTCACTGAGGCTGTCATGTCCCCAGGACTTCGTGGAAGGACTTAGACGGACCTGGTTACCTGTTCACATATCGTTCAGGTCCCTCATCACTCACACCACCAGCCAAGTGCTACGGTGTTGTTACGTCTTGTATATTAGGCAGGATCAGCAGTGGTTATGTGTTTAGCCCTGTCCTGCTGGGCTTGGCTTTGTAAAACCCAAGGCGTTTTGTGCTGTATCTCAGCCTGAAATTTAGCCTTGGTATTGAAATTCAGAAAATTAATCTCTGGACGGTAATTTATGCCTCTAGCAAGATCCCCATGGATAGAGAGTGGTTGGTGAGTGCTGCCCCGCTGCTCACGGTGCAGGCATTGAGGGATGGCGTTGGACTTTGGGCCTGTTGGAGTTATTTTGTCAGAAGATGGTAGTATTTGGAGACTTGATGTCTATGATGTGTGCTGACCTATTAAAAACATCTGTAGATTCATAGGATGGTGGAGAAAAAGATGGATGGTGCTGTTAACCCATGAAATGGGCATCAGCCTTCACCCTAAGATCCGTGTTAATCCAGTAAATGCTTGTTTACCACTTGCCTCAGGTGTGGGGGCAGGAAGAGGGTAAAGTAGGCCTGTGGCAGGAAGGTTCCTGCTGCAGTCTAGCTTTCATTGGGTTTGGGAGGCAGGGGTGGGAGAGGAGGCATCTCAGAGGTCCAGAGACGTGGAGCCCAGTTCCCTACCAATGCGTGATCCAAAGACTTGGAAACTATGTCTCATGTACCTGCATGGAGGCTATGTTGGGAACCTGCTGTACAGTCAGGGTCCAGGAAATGTTGATTTCTTGATGAGGGGTCTGCGGAGTCAGGGATTTCAATGGGATGTGATGAGGAGGCCATGCCTTGCAGCTGACTGGAGAGAGGAGGGCATGCTGGGGTCAGCTTGTGCAGGAGGTGGGGCATTTTTACAGTTTGGGTGGAGAACGGAGAATGCTTTTCTCAGGGCAGCCAGGTTGCGGCTGGAGGGGGCCAGTGGGTTTGTCAGCTGTAAGCAGCAGCCACACCTCAGGGAGTATTGGGGGGATCTCTAAGGAGTCAGACTGTGTGCCGCTCAGTGGTGTAATGTAGACTGGTATAATTCTTTAAAGTGAATAAGCCAGGATATGTCAAGTTGTAAAATGTGTGTGTGTGTGTGTGTGTGTGTGTGTGTGTGTGTGTGTGTGTCTTTATTTTGTTGTAAAACTTGAGGAAATTTCTAAGAAAAGCCAGGCCTTCTGTTGTTTCCCATCTGTGACTGCAGAATGTGGAAGGACCTCTGGCTGTAGTGTTCAGCCCCTGCCCTGACTCTCATTCATGACTTTGAATTGAGTGTAGGTACAAATGGAAGCCGTGTGTGGTGTGTGTGTGTGTGTGTGTGTGTGTGTGTGTGTGTGTGTGTGTGCGCGTGCGTGTGTGTGTTGGTCCTACAGATTCATAAAGATGACAGGCTTCCTTGATGAACTTCCTGAGGGCTGGGGGTGAGGTAGGGTGGGAGAAGCTGAAACACCTGTTTTCCTAAGGTGACCATGGTTATGTGCTTGACCAGAGGGTTGTGAAAATGCTGGGAATACTCCAGACGAACTAATTTTGTTTGTTAGGTCGAGCCGTGCAGCCCCGAGGGGCACTTCAAAATCTAGTGGCGTGGCTCCCAGTGCTGATCTGGGGCAAGTACAAGAATTTCTATTGACTGTTAGCTCCCCTTGAATCCCAGGTCAGTGGGAAGTGACATGATTCCAACCCAGGCTGTGATACATATGTAACATATTCATGAGAGTGTGGAATAAACCCCAACTTCTCAAGTGTGGTTCACTGACCTGACTGAGAGACTTTGGGGGTAAAACTGAAATTCCACAGTGTAGCATCCTGGCTGTGGTGTGTGAGCCCTCAGTGATGTGCCCACGTACTTTCCTCCCGTGCAGTTTGAGTTCATGATCGAGTCCATCCTCTACGCCCGGGATGCCTGGTTAAAGGAGGATGGCGTCATCTGGCCGACCACAGCCGCATTGCACTTGGTGCCCTGCAGCGCGGACAAGGACTACCACAGCAAGGTTCTCTTCTGGGACAACGCCTACGAGTTCAACCTCAGTGCGCTCAAGTAGGTGTGCGTGACCGCGTGCAGGGCTGACCACCGTGTAGCTAGGCTCCTGGCAAGAGGAGAGGAGCCGGGTGGGCAGCCAGTTGATGAGGGTGCCACCTCTGCTTCTGAGAGACAGTCTCACTAATCTGTGGGAGACAGTCTTTCCTCCTTCATGAACGTTGCACCTTATGCATCCTCCAGTGACCCAGAATGGACCCGGAAACATTGAGATTTGTCGTTTCCGTCTCCTTTGCCTTCCCTTGCGCACCCTCCTGACCCCTGAGATGGTTGTGTGTGTGGGAACCTGTTATAGGTGGGGAGTTATGCCTCTTGCCTTCCCTCCGGTCTCAGCTCTGGCCGCAACCTCAGTTCTTGTATTCCTGGAGGGGGATTCACATCAGGACACAGAGCAAGTGAGCAGTCAAGGGTTATTTTAGCCTATGCATAAATAAAAGTGGGCAGTAAGTATACCCTCCTGGGTAGAGGATGGATTTAGCCAACTGGCAAGAGTAACAGGCTCCTCTAGTATCTGGATTGCCCACCCATGGGGTGGACTGAGGTGGTCTCTTTCCTAGAATAGATGGAGGATTTCTTAGGAGCCATCCTTACCCACAGTGTTATCTGTTATAATTAGATGCATTAAATGCAAGAACAGGAGAAAAGAGGCCGGGTGTGGTGGCGCACGCCTTTAGTCTCAGCACTCAGGAAACAGGTGAATCTTTAGAAGTATGAGGCCAGCCTGCTCTACATAGCAAGTTCCAGGCTACTCGCCAAAGCAACACAATGAGACTGCACCCCCCTCGTCCCCCACAGAGTATGTAGGAGGGTGTAACTTCCCATAAAGTTGAGCAGTTTACTAGAGGAAAGGGCAATGGCGCCATTGCATGTGCTCGTCACAGCATGCTGGCAATGACTCTGTTTCCCCCATAATCCTGTTCTTCTTTCCTGGTCAGCTTGGCTATCATACTCAGCTGCAAGGGTCCTCTGCCTAGAGGGGAACAACATGCTGCTAATGTGATTCACAGGAGCCAGGACCAGTCCCAAGCTGGCAGCTAAACTTGGCATCACTGCCTCGGTGGTTTAAATGAGAACGGCCCCCATGGGCTCATATATTTGAATGTTTGGTCCCCAGTTAGTGGAACTGTTTGGAGAGGACTAGGAGCTGTGACCTAGTTGGAGTAGCTGTGGCCTTGTTGAAGGAGGTGTGTCATTGGGGTAAGTTTTGAGGTCTCAGAAGCCCACACTAGATTGTCTCACCCTCTCTTTGTCTGCTGCCTGCTGACCAGGATGTCAACTGTTAGCTACCACTCCATTGCCATGCCTACCAGCTGCCAGGCTCCCTGCGGTGATGATCATGGACTAACCTTCTGGAACTGTAGGCGAGTCCCCAATTATATGATTGCCTTGGTCATGGCGTTTCTTCATGGCAATAGAAGAGTAACTAAAGCATCATCCATGAGATCTACCGGCTTTACAGGCATGAAGGATGCAAGAATGAAGGGGTTGTGGATTCTTCCTCCACAGTTTGAGAGAGCCACTGAAGCCAGGCAGTGGGTGGCAGGGGAGTCCCTACATGAAGGCCTTGAAGGCCATTGCGTGAAGCTGTGAATGTGAAGCTTGGATTGCAGGGGAGACCCCAAGATGTTGGAAGTGCCAGAACAGTGAGATGTCTGCCTGAGAGAGCTGCGTTTAGGGAGTGGAACCAGCCTGAGATATTTATATATATTGCAGGCAGCAAACTAGAGGGATGGAGCCATTTAATCCCTTTTAAGTTCAAGTCTCAGACATGGGGACTACCCATACATGGACATGGAGTGACAGGGTTTTGGCATTTGCCCTGCTGAGTTCTGGTGTTGCTTTGGTCCAGTATTTCTTCACCATGCTCCTTTTCTTCCCATTTGGAACAGTAATGGATATTCCTTGCCATTATTTTGGAAGCATGTAGTTGCTTTTTGATTTTGCAGGGGTTTGCAATTGAGAGGTTATGTTGAGGCTCGGAAGGGACTTGGCCTACAAATAGTATTGGTACACTGAAAGACTGCCAGGACTTCCGAAGTTGGACTAAATGCGTTTTGTGTTATGATATGGCCATGAGCCTATGGAGGCCAGGAGTGGAATGTGGTTGTTTGAATGAGAAATGTCCCTCACAGGCTCTGGTATTTGCACACTTGCTCTCCAGTTGGCAGCACTGGAGTTGGGGAGGTTTAGGAGGTGTGGCCTCATCAGAGGAATATGTCTCATTGGGAATGGGCTTTGGAAGATTATAGCCTTGCTCCACCTCCACTTACATTTGAAAATGTGGGCTCCCAGTTTCCTGCTCTGCCTGCCACGCATGCCACGCATGCCACGCATGCCACATGCTTCCCCACCATGGCAGACTCTCCACTCCTCTGGAACCATAAGCTCAAATTGGCTCCTTTTTTTCTATACGTCGTGCTTGGTCATGGTGTATTGTCATAGCAACAGAAAACTAATACAGTGCCTGCCTCATAACCGTAGGTGTCTTTAAAGATGGGATTGACATGTCTCACAATCTTAAGTTTCTAGATATAATAGAGGAAGTTCATTTGTAATGGTGAAGTCTTTAATGGTGTGTGGGATGTTGAAACACATGCTAATTCCCAGTGAGCGCTCTGAATTTGTAATGAGCCTTAGCAGATTTCCCATGCTGTTCATGGAAGTGCCTCAACATAGTTGATAATTCCCTGCCAGGTGGACACCAGTGCACTTGAGCCTTGGATGCTGATCCAGATGATTGCCTGATGAGGCCTTTGGCCTATTATAGCTGCCTCTGATAGAAGGGTCTAGTTCCTTCCCTTCGAGAACAAGAAGAAGGTCAGGGAAAAACCCCTTTACCAAGTACAAGAAACTACCTGTTTCTTCAGGGAGGGCCAGATCAGCCCAGGCCTCTGCTCACACTTTTGGAGGGTGGGGTACTGGTGGTAAAGCACGGTGCTGCAGGCACTTAAAAAAAAAAAAAAAAGGTCAAAATAATAGAAAAAGCAATATAAAAGTATGATGTCTTCCCTAACTAATATATGGAGTCACTGTTCCCTCATCCAACATCCCAAAGGGAATAGAGAGGGTCCTGTATATTGTGGTTCTACAGTTCACCTGGAAAAACATGGTAAAATTCTATTAACCACCTGGTTGAGAGTTCTTTTGCTGCACCCAGGCAGGAGTCATGGGTAGATAGGCGAGGGAGAGCTCTTCCGGTGCCGGCCGCTGGCAGCTTCCTTTCCCTCTGTGTCTCGGAGCGGTGAATGGTGACGGGAGACAGATGGAGGCAGCAGAAAGTGGTGCCCTCTATTTGTAGTCCTCGGCGGGCCTCCTGCATAGGGACCCTTAGAGCTCGGCGGCAGCCATTGCTGCAGCTCTCAGCCAGAGCCTTGGAAGACTTGATAGTCAGTGGCGTTTTCCCGGTGGTCAGGGCCCGAAACCTCTCTCCTGTGGATCCTTACAGCGTTCTTTATTCTCAGCCTTCCACTCTCTTTCCCGATTCCCTTCTCCCCCTGCCTCTTCCTGTCCTGGCTGCACTTCAACTGTCCCTCTGCTGCTTCTGCTCCCTGGCCCCTTGTGTAGCATGGCTGATGCCGGGACCACCTGGAGGGCCTGGCTGCTGTATACCCTGGGGGGAGGCCTGTTGAGGATGTTTGGGAGGTGGGACACCTGCCAGCACCTCTGTGGGTCTGGTGTCTTCTTCCACGGCTGTCTCCTCAGCTCTTGAGCGGTTGGCTGCCTTGCTTCCCACACAGTTTGGCCTGCTGGCCGCTCAGCTGTCTCCACCCCCCTACTGTCTTGGCCACTCTCTGCTGTCTCTGTTGCTTGTTTGTGTTACTGAAAGCTAGAGAGAGAGAGAGAGAGAAAAAAAAAAAAACCCACTCAAATGCAGCCTTTTAATGCTGCATCCACACCAGCAAAGTCAAGTGCAGGAGAGTGTTTAGGCCAATCAACCATTTGTTTGAACCAATCACAATGCTACCCCTTATCACCAATCAATGTAGTCATTGAGGTTTGTTTAGAACAGTGGTTCTCAACCTTCCTAACGCTGTGACCCTTTAATACAGTTCCTCATGTGTGGCGACCCCCAACCATAAAATTATTTTGTTGCTACTTCATAACTGTACTTTTGCTACTGTTATGAATTGTAATGTAAAGATCTGATAGGCAGGAGATCTGAAATGCAACCCCTGTGAAAGAGTCAATGGACCCCCAAGGGGTCGCCACCCACAGGTTGAGAACCACTGGTTTAGACTACTCCATTTTCTTTTAAACACAGGTTGTCTCTCTGTGAGCCAACCAGGGGAAGTGTTCCTGCTCCAGCTCTGGTAGAAACGTTCGCAGATCATTTAGCGTTCATCTGTGCTTGTATTAGCTTCAAGTCTGCTGCAGGATGGAACCCGTAGCTCTAGCTGGCCCAGTCAGCTCTCAGCTTCCTGTTGTTTTCTCCACAGGTCCAGATGGCTGATGCTGGCAGAAGTGTAGTCTTTTGGTTGTTAAAATTGATAGTGCTTTTGCTCAAGGAAGCCAGAAGAGAAAGACAGAGTCCAGTAGATACTGGTTAGGGGGTCCAATAGCCCTGTCCCCAGTGTCTGTCTAGGAAAGTGAATAACAGAAGTAAATTGACAGATTTTAACAATGTTAACCTACCCAGTGCCCCAGAGAGAAGTGCATTCCCCTTACCTATCTTCGGAAGGTAAAGACTTTTAAAAGCCATGGTGGAGAGCTGGGCATGGTGGCACACACCTAGCACCCTGGAGGCAGAGGCAGGCAGATCTCTGATCTCTGTTAGTTAGGGGCTAGCCCAGTCTACATAGCAAATTCTAGACCTGTCATGGCAGAGTTCTAGGCTAGCCCGGTCTACATAGCAAATTCTAGACCCTGTCTCAGAAAAACAAACAAGCAAACAGCCATGGTGGAACTGTAATAACTAAACAGTGCTGCCCCAGAAGAAGAAAAGCCGATGAGTAGGACTCAGGTAGATGAGTAGGACTCCAAGCAAGCAGAGTGCAGACAGCTTAG